TTTTGTGTGTGTGTGTGTGTGTTCCGGTAGCGGATTTAGATATGCGTATTGTTTGCGTAGACGTCGCGTCTATGTCTATACCGGAACACCCTCATATACATCTATATGCACATGCACAGCAACACCCCCATATACATCCAACTGTACATGCACATACCTTATACATTTTATACGCGCCCGCTACACACCGCCGAATGACGTTTTGACCCACACATTTTGTTTTGCATGTTGCATTTAGATCTTCCCGTCACTTGCCGGAAAGGCGACTGGGCACATGGGGTCTCTGGTAGTGCCACACGAGGTACCTGTTTAATTGTCCACTATGACGTTTGCCTGCACCCCATTTGCTTGATTTGATTAGCTACTGTAGTGTTGCACCAGTACGTCTACCGGTGAACTGTACTGTGTGGTGCTCGGTGAAAATGCAGCGTGTGCTTGCACTGCGTAGTGAAGCTTTATGTTTGTTCCCGTTGCCGTTGCATTCACAAGCCAAACTCTCTATCCCACGCTGCATGTGGACGTCATAGCCTTATGTAGCTCGCATTTCAGATTGCTCACACAGGTACTCAGGTGTCTATTTCATAAGACATGCATTATACACCACTCACACAGACACACAGGTGTCTATTTGATAGGACAAACAATTATGCCACTCACACAGAGATACAGGTGTCTATTTGATAGGACAAACATTATACCACTCACACAGAGACACAGGTGTCTTTCATAAGACATGCATTATACCACTCACACAGACACACAGGTGTCTATTTGATAGGACAAACATTATACCACTCACACAGAGACACAGGTGTCTTTCATAAGACATGCATTATACCACTCACACAGACACACAGGTGTCTATTTCATTAGACATGCATTATACACCACTCACACAGACACACAGGTGTCTATTTCATAAGACATGCATTATACAACGCTCACACAGACACACAGGTGTTCCTGAGTTCATTTGACGATCACTGACACACATTGCTTTGCATTGCTCGCACAGGTGGAGAGTAACGTGGTGCCTGCTCTGACGTCGTACGCTGTGAGCAGCTATAGCCGACCCTATGATCAAGCCCAGAGGTATTGCAACGAGTTGCTATGTGTCTATATCACCCTATAACCCTATAACCTGCTATAGCCGGCCCTATGATCAAGCCCAGAGGTATTGCAATGTGTTGCAATGTGTCTGTATCACCACAAAATCCTGTAACCCTATAACCCTAAAACCTGTTCTGATACGTTAGGCGTGTGTATTCATATGGATAGTTGTATTGTATTTCCGGCCGGATGATTAAACCCAGAGGTATTGCCATGTCATTATAGCATCATACGTCTGTTCTAGTACATTAGGTGTGTGTCTTTGTACTGATAGATTCCATACTGAAAACCACAGTTGTCACGTACGAGTCAAGGTCGAGTACTACGAAGTTGCGCTACCAATAGCCCGATACGCTTATTTGAGAAAATCCGTGTATATAGAAATGCTATTGAAACTATTTAAACTATGTAGACACCAGGATAACTATGTATATAGGGATTCTATTTAGACTATTTAAACACAAGGATACCTATGTATATGGGAATTCTATTTAAATTATTTAGACACCAGGATACCTATGTATATGGGAATGCTATTCAAACTATCAATACAAATCTATAACTTGTTTATATAATCAAAGGGTCAAATCCTCCCGGATGATGAACGTATGTATCTTGTCTCCAACGTCCACAGACTAACCGATGAGACCATCGTGTCTAATCGACAGTTGACGGTAGGCAACGGAGAAGGGAACTCCACCGACACACACATAACCCAACAGCTACAACAACAACAACAACAACGCACCCTCTCGAGCAAGAATAAGGGCAAAGACAAGGACCCTAACCCCACCATCTACCGGATGCTCTCCGTGACACCGTCTCATACACACCGCAAGACACACCGAAAGTATACACCCACCCGCATAGACAAACGCATAGACACACGCACACTCGCACGCTCAAGTTCGGGGAGCCCAACGCGTTTGACCCACGCACCCCTTTCGGCCGATACGCAACTCAAGACATACCAAAGCTGTGGCCCGGTTGTTACGAGTTCTACACCGGCCACCACAGTAGAGGCACCCGCGGAGATAGCAGTGGATACGACCATAGTGCCGACTGTAGGTACACTGGAGAGCTTTGACCAGGCTGTCAGTATGAGTGGGGGTGGTGTATCACCCACTCAGGAATATGTGAGTATATCTGTACAGGCACAGAGACACACACCACAGACGCACACACAGGCGCAGGGGCGCGGGCCTTCCCAAACATTGTTGCACGCTAACATGCAGATATCAACGCAGCTACAGTCACACACACCTATGGCAGCTCAGGGACATACGAGTTTGTTACAGAGGGCTTTATCACCTCTGCGGCCGAAAAGATTAGGGCCTACGGCGGGACTGACACCTGTCAACAACACCAGTGACATCAGCACGAGATCTAGCGTAGACTCGGGGAGGACTGTGAAGAGTGAAGACATACAGGATGTGCCTATACTTTCACCCAAGTATGTAGGTGTGGGCATATGCGTGTACACAGTATGTTAACGAAAAAAAGTATATATATATATATATATATATATATGAGTGTGTATGTATTATGTATGTATGTATGTATGTATGTATGTATGTATGTTGTATGTATGTATGCATGTATGTATGTATGTATGTATGTATGTATGTATGTATGTATGTATGTATGTATGTATGTATGTATGTATGTATGTATTTATGTATGTATGTATGTATGCATGTATGTAAGGAATAATGTATGTATTTATGTATGTATT